TTGTTTATACAACATGATAAGAGAAATTAAAGAGAACAGTGATGCTATCGATTTTGAAACAGGCGAGACTTTCGGACGTCAAGAAAAATGAGCTATAAAAAATGGAGTTCAAGAATAAGAATAAAATCTTTCCAGTCAAATGAGACATTCAAACAATAGGATCCATATATATATATATTTCTCGTTGCGCAAAATTATACAACTGATACGCGAATGTTTATTTGGCACATTACTTCCTTCTTGGTCAACTTTCGCCAACACTTTGTTGTATCTCTCATCTCTCAACACACTTGTCTCTTATCCAACCGAACATATCTCGTTCTCTCGTAAGTAACGCGTCGCTGTTTTACCTTTTGACCGGCTTTCACGACGACTTTGGTCTTCGGTTGGAGGATTCATTCTTGAACGTTTTCACTTGTTGCTTGTACTTTCTCTCTCTCCATCCGCCTCGTCTCTCGCCCTTTTCGTCCGCCTCGACGCTTTATCTCGGGCCCCCTGCGAGAAAGGGTGCCGATGCCATGCATCGTTCGTGCCGTGAAGCATCATGCGGGGTCCCGGCCTCGCCAATCAACCGTAATAAACTTAAAAAAGGGAGAGAGAGAGGGAGGAGGAAAAAGGCGAAGCGAGCTACCTCTTTTTACGTGCACGCGAAGAAGATCGCGACCGAGCGCGGATCAACGATCGTAAATGGCAAGGATGGTGGGCGAGGGTGCACCGCAAATTTGCACCACGTGCGTGGGAAATGAGGCTGAGAAATGTGCGGCGGAAGTATCGTGGTAGCCGATTTCGCCGGGCATCGGGCAATCATTCGTAATTTTGGAAAGACGAAAGAATATCTTGGGAAAGAAATTTGTATCTGCTTAATTTGAGAGTCATAATTATTGCGTGCAGCAAGAGCCGTTTTGATCCTTTCGAGAATGCACTGTGTTTCGAAGAAAGTTTATGCACAGAAATTATGCACACGATATATATGGAATACTTTTTTTTTATATAAAGCATCTTGGATATTATTAATATCATTTTTCATTCCAATGATTATTTTCATTTATAAACAATTAATTTTTTTCCGAGTAAAAGTTGATATCGAGCATCGTTTCTCTTTCGTTTTTACGAGTTTCTGATGTTTATATTTGAATATAATTTTCTTCAAGTTTTATGTGTACATATACTTACTCCAAAAAAAGTGGTACGATTAAAATTTCGAAAAATCATCAATTTCAAATAACGATAACTTCGTAAATAATGAAGATAAAAAGGTTTCTAAAAAATGAAAATATAAATTCGGAATCTCTATTTTAAGAATATATTTATTTCATTGTTGCGAGATAAATTTATTAAAAAGGCGGATAACAAAACGAAAACATGCAAAATTAAAAAATATTGGTCCGCGATTCTCATGGTACATGGCATGAGTCAAATGTTACTACTAAATGGTATAAAAAGCATATAATAGTACAGAGTCTCCCCTTTAAAATGCTTTTTTATTCATCTCGATACCTTAATTTTTCGCCGAGATATTTACATTTAAACAAAAAGGCAGCTTTTTACTTTGAATGTGAATAACTCGGCGAAAAATCATCGTATTGAGATGAATAAAAAAGCATTTTAAAGGGGAAACTCTGTACTATCATGTGCTTTTTATCTCATTGAGTTGCGATATTTGACTCACGCCGTGTGCCTTCCAAACTCGGACCATTATTTTTTAATTTTGCAAGTTCTCGGTTTATCATCAGCCATTTTTAATAAATTTATCTCGCAACATTGAAATAAATAGATTCTTAAAGTAGAAATTCCAAGCTTTATTTTCATTTTTTAAAAACCTCTCTATCTTTATTATTTATGAAGTTATCGTTATTTGAAATTTGGTGATCTTTTCCAAATGTTAAGTGTACCGCTTTTTTTTTTGAGAAAGTGTAGAAGCGAGAGGAAAGATCGTCCTGGAAATGATTAATCTATATCGGATATATATATATATATATATATTTATATAATGATACGTCAATATACTTTTCGAAGAAGCTCTTAAGGCTTCGGAGCCCGCTTACGGAAGTTTTTATTTATTCCTTCTCATCGATCATCAGCGCCTCGTGTTCGTCGCACGAGTCTCACAGTTCTCGTGTGTCTGTTGGTCTACTGAGCAAGAAAGAGAGGAAGAAGGAGCGAGCCGTTGGTCGGTTGGAATACCAGGAAGGAAAACAATAATTAGTTGATGTCACCCGACGTTGAAACCCGCTCGTGCAATATCGTCGTGTCGTTATCGGACCGCGGTTTATCGCTTGTGCCGTATCACGGGCCGCTACGCGAAGCGTGCGAATGTTTACGAGCAGTGTCGGATTTTAATACGTCGGTGGCGTCAATGAAAGCACGCCGAAGAGACGGACGTGTCTCGTCTGCACGACTCGTGAATGACAGCACCGGATACAATCCGTACACTATCGCTCGCTCGTATTAGCAGAAGATAGATCGACGATTAATACGAAGTCTTAACGGGGCAAAGACATGAGACACAGACGTATTAGAATTTAATAAAATTATTTTATACAAACGGTTTTTTAATAATTTATTATTCATTGTGTATGTATGAGTATATCTTGAAAATTATTTATATGCGAAATTCCTCGCAAAAAACTATTGTCAAATTGATGATTTTTAAATCAATTAATTCAATTGATCGCTTAGTTTTTTTTCATCCTTTAATCTCGGTAGAACACATGGCTTCAACAATTTTCTCAATGTGTGAAGTATTCATCTATCTGTAACAGAAACTCTTCTATACAAGAGGGAGAAATTTTTCTAGCGCCTCCCCATAAAGTTAATGGTTTTTTTGCGTTTCAAAAGATGATGCGACAAGTCATGGGCGTCCGCAAGATTTTTTCCTGAAGGTGGAATCATTAAATTTTTATTTTTCTTTAATTTTTAAAAATGTATATTTTTTGTTTTGTTTTATTTTAATTTTTTTATATTAAATATGCAAATAAATTTTAGTGTTTATTCAAAACGAAAGCAAAACTTAATTATTTTACTGATTCCAAGAGAGGGTGCAAATCTCCCTCTTGCCCCCCTCTGCGGACGCTCATGGAGACAGTCATCTCTATAAAAATTCTCAGTTGACATGAACGACAAGGCAGAAAGAAGAGCTCCAGAAGAAAGCGCCAAGTGCAAATGCAGTCGGCGCAGTGTGTCTGCAGTTCCTGAGAGCATCTGGCAGGCTCCAGTACACATAGATAATCTTAATGAGTTTAGCTTATCATATTGAATGAGGCCGCCGAAATCCTGAGGATGCGACGTATATCTTGAAGTCTCAACAATGATGCCTTTTCAACGTGAGGTTGAACCACGATTGACGCTCATTGATGACATATCATTCTTAATTACTGATTACGAAACGACACAAGTGTGATAAAGTGCATCATAGCAAGCGCTAATTTTAAACAATTTATCTGGAGTATCTGGAACTTTTTCATAAGTCTAGCCTTTCGTTTCTTCGTAGATAATCCTCTGCTTATTTTATATCTTATTACTTTTTTATCGATTTATATTGATACTTAAATATATTGATATAATTCTTCTCGCGAATTATCGTCGCTTAATTGTTAGTACAATTTGCGAATTTTAGATTTCTCCCTCTATCTCAATATCCTGATTAAGGGTGGCATTTTTTGCACAATAAAACCGGTTGCGTTCATAGCCGCATTAAGACAACGAATTAGATGCTAATAAAGACATTATTGCGACGGGCTATTTTGTAATTTCGACATGCGATAATTTTAGAGACGCAAGACGTAATTATAGTCAACGATTCATTTGGATTCACGCTATCGTGGCAAGCAAGTATTACTTTCTATAATATTTTCGCCGCATATACAATGTTTACGACGGTGGTTTTTGCTTTATATTAATTAGCAGTGTACGCGATTGATGAAAAAAGAGACATTATATGCCTATATAGCCGGTGAAGCGGAGGCATGAGACTTGAAAATGATCTAGACATGGTAATTACAGTTCAATGTTGAAGTTTTACGGAATTATTATTCAAATTTTACGTTCAAAGAATTTAATATACGATCGCAGGAACTCGGGGAAAGCCATGCGAGAGAAATTACAACATGCAATACGATCGTCGTTTCCTTGCGCCATTTCCCTAATTACAACTTACTGTGCACAGAGTTTTTCGCGTCTTCCCAGTATTAATAAATTTATGGCAGAAAGGGCAAAGTTGGGGAGGGTTTTATCAGCAGATCTTGCACAGTCACAAATATCTCTCGGAAGAAGAAATAAGAAACATTGACGAATGCAACACGATCGCGTTACACAGAAGCGCCAAACGTGCCACGGTTATAATCCCGGCTCATTATCGACGGATATGTGGTAATGGCATTCTGATTGAACGTTGCTTGCTTTCACTGAATGCGATGGCTCGTGTTACCGCGAACGCATTGCGAACTCGGCACGGTTGCTAATATTTTGTAAACAAATTCGACGCGAGTGTGTGCTACAGGCGCGCGTGTAAAATTGGTAATCCAATCTTATTTGCCACGCATGGTATTAATTATCGCGTAACTTAACCAGTAATTGCTAACTGCTCTTATATTCGCGGTATATCGCAACCGACCGGTAAACAAGCTCGAAGTTAACTAATTAGCGACAATTGTGGAAAGAGTAAATATTATTTTTTTTGTGATCTATTATGTGAAAGAGCATAAAATGTGAAAATTTTTCTAATATTTAAGACTGACAAAATTTCATCACGATTTTTGTAGTAAAATTTGACAGAATAGATTTGTCAATATTGACTCTAATTATTCTAACACGGAGGGAGAGTCGCTCCTGTGTTTTGTTAGCCCTTCGATACGTCGGTTAAGATTGTGTGTGTGCAACACCGTGAAACATTTGGAGCGACCTTCCTATCCAAAGTAGCTTCTCCGGAGGGTTCCAAGCTGGGTGAGGGTAGCCTGTGTCGGAATGGCAGCGGAGAGCATCGAGTCAGTTGGTGTAGAGACTCCACCAAGTGCACCCGCTTCTGTGTTTAATGTACGGTACCCGAGTCGACCTGTCAATTCGCTCGGCGTGTCGTCGATATATACACGTTCTTCGCTATTTTATTTATTTAAATCTTGATACGTGAAATGTAAAATGTCGCGTCGAGACGCTGTGAGACAAATTGACTCGTGTTGTAATTGGATTGTTTGAAGAAAATCGATATTGCGCGCTGCATCGTTTCTATGCGATTAATTATTTTATAGCTTTTATTTACAAATGTAATTTTCGACATTCTATATGACGACTATTACAGACTGCTGTTGGAATTACCAGTTTTGAAAAAGGTACATTTTTTATTTACATTTTTTAATCTTTGAATTGTGTAGCATTTCTTTTTGTTATATCTTTCATACAAATTTTTTATTTTAAAGTAATTACCTTCTTTTTAGCTTTTCGAAAGGCTAATTTTTCACAAATAAAATTTCTTAAAGTGCAACTAGTATCTTTATATCAGTTATAATATTGATTTTAGAGACGAGTATTTTGCACAGTTAAAATGTGAATGAAATTTTCAGCGTCGGCTTTCATTCCGGTTTATTTTGACGGCTTTCTAATATGCAATTAATGACATTCATATTTTATGTATTATGTTCATCAAATAAGTTTATTAATTGTTGACAATTTTTATCATTTATTTTATCGTGAAATATGTCCGGTTTAATTAGACATATTTAGCTTCGTCGATGATTGTAATTGTTTAGTTATATGTTCAAATATTAAATTATTTATTTTTATATGATTAATTATACATATAGGTTATTAAGAAAGAAGAACTTAATGGAATTTAAAAAATATTATTTATATTTATTATAATATTTACTGAATTGATCAAATAGAAGAACTATTCTCGCCTATTTGTATTTTTTAATATTTTTGACATTATTTATTTGCAAATTATTATGTATTTATTATAATAATTAATCCTGCTCTTATTATCGTGATTTGATATGAAAGAGATCGCTCTTTCTCTTTTATTTATTTTATTTATTAATTATTTTTACAGTCTTTTGGTTCCATGTCTTCCCCATACCTGCAATGATGTCGTACGATTATCCTCATCCAGTCTCGAGAACATATCAATACAAAAAGGTATCGCAATCAATACACACAGTTAAGGTTGAATAATTAACCGCAAAAACATTACGTTCTCTTCATACAATCATATTATGAATTAAAAGAAATATATTTACACATGACGACACGTGGCCTGAAAAACTTGTTATTTATTTATATGTATATGTAGTCCACCAGCGATTGTGTAACAAGTTTGCATAGTTGCGTACCACGTGTTTCATTTCGAGCCAAAGTTCGCATTTATTAATCACTGGTGACATATACAGAAATTTTTTTTGTTAGCGCTCGATGATTATTTATCGTTGCGGTTTGGTGACTGCTAATTAACTTTGTGTTATGTGGTAACATTGATACAATGATAAAATTGCAAAGTTTTAAACATAAATGTATGTAGAATGTATAAAAATTTAAACGTACTCTTTTACGATTTTAATTCTCACGATACTCGGCATATTTGACATATTGATATTCAGGTATTCGCTGTATAATTGACCAAGTCTTTAAATTAAGCTTTAAATCACGCTTTTTTAATTCTCTCGCATTTTAACGCATATCAAGATTTTATTCTTTTTTGACGATCATTCAACAGCTGGCATCGCACGGTATAAATTTATATCTTTTTTCTCGCGGTCTAACCGATAAGGAATCGATGCGAGTCGCTAATTAATATTTTAAATCGCGGATACCAGTCGCTAATTAATATTAAATCATTGCTCGGCTATCTCGGCGCTGCGCGGCAAGATAAAGAGACTTTATTTCTGACATGTCGCTGTCCATTTTATAAATCGAGAATTCCTTTCGTGAATTAATACGGAAATATAGAACACGCTAAAGGAATTGCTCGGTCTTTTTCGATTATCACTTACGCGCTCCTGTCATTTTGACGTTCAATTCCCGCCTTCGGGTTCTGACTACATCGTAAATCAACGATTGACGATCGAACACACGCGCTAAGAGATGTAATATCGCAATGCCGAAGTTTCTGCATGATCGGTGTGCGAACGCTCGACGCAGCTGTCGCGGAATATTGATTAATAAAATATAACGTGTGTTCAACACCAGATAACGAAGCCGCTTTTGGAGAGGAAAAGGCGAGCGCGTATAAATCGTTGCCTTGATGAACTTAAGGATCTCATGGTGGACGCTTTAGAGGTAGGAGGTATTGCTTTTTACATAATATTTCGTTTTTTTTAAAATAAAAATTACATATTAATAATATATAATAATATGCAGAATAAAATTTTATTCCATTCTGCAGCTAGGAAATATAAACTAAAATAGAATTAAATAAAATGTTAAATAGGTATAGAGCAACCTTTTTTATTCTCAGCCACTCTCTTTGGTATTTCATCTAAAACATATTGCTGCAAATGAATGCTCAAGACGTACTGGTAGATGTGATAACAGTACACAGCTTTATGCATTATGTTTGCAACTTTTTTGCAAGTGATTAGTTCTCGCTGCGCGATGTTCCGCGATCTATATTTTTTTTCTCACGGTCGAGATAAATTATTGTTTAACGGCGAGAAGAAGTGGCCGAGAAGCATTTCCGAACGCAGCAATCTCGGGTATCGATACGTAGCCCTGGTTCAACGAGCACGTGCTATGCTTTTTCTCCTCACACGTCCCGCACGAACCTTCCCGCGTTTCTTGCTCGACTCCACCGACTCTATTTATGATATCCCCGAGTGCTTCCCTTCGCGCGTCACCGCTCCCTGCTGCAATTTTACGGATCGCGCCTAGCAGGAAACGCATTCTCCGGCCGCAACTACGCGTGCAGGCGATTTTGCTTTTAAATATTCTCTCAGATATCGTGGGAACCTGCACCCGGTGAACCAGTGTCAACAAAATGATATTCAGTGCTCAGCCATGCGGATCGCGTAACACACGCTTTATTAGGTGAAGTGCGTAGGTGACTCTTAAATGTCTTCAATATCGCTACCGTTTTATTTTTATTGCAATCTAACGTTGCTCATATATTTTATGTCGCACGTTTAAATGCCATCATACGATTTTTATCCCGTTGCGACTTCCGGATAGGCGCGAGAAGAATTGCGCGGACTTATTTAGCGAATGTGAGAAACGACAAGCCTGAACTCTTACTTCCAGAGTTCTCTCTTCATTGCAACAATTTTCCGAGTTTTATTTTACAAAATTATTATACTCATTTAAAGCAACTCGTAAAATGACAATTTTATTTTCGCTCATTTCTATCCTACTGTATATGACTTACAGCTACTATTCTCGTCAGCATTAAACGCGAATTTAATATCAAAATTAAAATTCCAAATTGTATGGTCACGTTTACCGTTAAAGGTGCGAAAGGTGAGAAACACACGGGGCTTGAATTTTAAGAAAGAAATTCTACCTCGAACATCGGCGCACAAACCGATAAAGGCGCATAAAAGAGCGCTTATAATGCGTTTCCTGTACATTACATCTTAAGTGGCATTCCCCTACAATGTGCTTCGCCATTGATGGTAATTTGTCGATACCGTCTTTCCGCGCGAAACGATCGCGCGCGAAACTTACGTCGGCCATCGTTGCCATTGTACGCGTAATTCGCTGAATCAGCGTGAAAGGCACCGTTGATTTCACCATGCTAATTTTCCAAACGGCACATTACCCGGTCCAATCGGCACGTTTCGTACGGCTTAATGTCCGCCGACCGGATGCTATTCTTCTTCTTCTCGCGAAACGTCGCGGATCGTCGAGCATCAGGCTTCCGATGTGATCAGGCGGTCTACGATATCCTTTTAATGAGCATTCGTTCTTTTTTTTTTTTTTTCTAATGAGAGAACATCCTGCGAATCGGATGTGACATAAAATAAACTGCCCCGTAAGCGTCGCGAACAGGTAACGACAGCATTTTAGTAGCAATTTCTTCTAGTCCGAAAAACACGACGTTCTCTTCTTCGTGGAATCGTTTCACGATACTTAGTGCCGACGAGACTAATCCGGGAGGAACGGAAGCATTAACTTCCGTAGAAAGGCGCGAAATTATACAATCAACAAGCCGACAAAGTATAATGACACTGTGCGCTTCGTACATTTTTCATACAGTTAAAAAAATAGAATAGAAGATGAAAAAAAATATCAGACTTTTTATAATATTTAATCGCCGACACTTAATCATGTTGCTAAAATGTCAGGATTAATATATTGATTATATTTTTTATTCCTTGGCGTTTGATATTGCTTTCCTATAATGATGGCGAATTTTTTTTCAATTTAATTTAATATCACTTTTAATATATTATTTAATTTAATATTACTTTCAATTTTTTGTTCAATATTACTAATTTTTTTTAATTCACGGAAGAAATGATAAATCTGACAATGGTTCGCAGACCGAAGGCGAGAACATTAGCAAGCTGGAGAAGGCGGATATCCTCGAGCTGACGGTGCGTCATCTGCAGAAGCTGCAGGCCTCGCGGCCCGCCGGACTGTCGACGTCGATTGCGAACGGCGACGAAATTTCCGCAGAGAGCCGCTGGCAGTCCGGCTTCGGACATTGCGCGGCGGAGGCCTGCAGATTTCTCTCGTCGCTTCCAGGTGAAGCCGCGGAGAGGCTGGCGAGACACCTCGCAGCTGGCCTTCAAACGAGCCGGCAAACAAATTCATCGGTAATTATCGGTTCGATCTGTAATTAGTGAGCGACATATAGTACGCGAAGAAAGAGAGAGAGAGATATAGACTGGTAATGAGGCGAAAGTTTTTTGGGAGCGAGAGAGCGGATATATCATCCACCGATTATGTTTCGCACATTTGCACGATTTACGATACCGTTCGTTCACCCGCGTTCGAGACGCGCAAGATTTTCGAGAATAAAGTAAGATTTGTGAATGAATTGTCTCATATATGCGTTGAATTTATATTGTCACATAGACTTATGAGAAGGCGCCACAACGTGCAATTTAACGCAATTATTTTCAATATACGTATATACTTTATTGCTGCGACTGAAAATTAAAAAGCGAAAATTATACATGCAGCAATGATTGTTATAATTAATATCCAATTAATTATTATTTATAAGTTTTGAGAGTTGATGTATTCTCTTTTCACTTTGTACAGTTTTTTTATCTTTTCACCTGAATTGTGAATCACTACATAGTTGATTATACACATGTTTCGCGCTACTATATCATCATCTCTTTTAATCTCGCGTTTTTATTATACATATTTATTATATATAATTTTGCAATTTTTCGCGATTCCGCTTTAAATAAAGAAATCTGTGTGATATGGAAATTACAATCGCTCTCTCGAAATCTAGAAAAAGGATAAAAATAATGATCTTATGTGTGTTTCTCGCGGAACTATGCTTAAAAAATAAGTAAAACAATATTATCGCGATCGAGCCGCGAGAGATTAGCGCGAGATTTATGATCGCGAAGTGTTAATGACCTTCGTAATGACGACAAAAAACGTGTTCTCTTCAGCCGAAAGCCAACCTGTTATCGCCTACCCTGGCCAATCTGGATCGCATCGCTAACGTTGTCGCACCTTGTCCCATCGCCACCTCCGGCAAAATTGACTCGGCGATACTTCCTGCAAGCGTGTCCTCGCCGGAGATAAAATCCCAGCCTCGCGCTGATAAAGCTGTCGAGATCGGCGACGCGAGCGTGTCAACGACAACCTGTGTTTCTTCCACATCTCGGTGTCGGGCGACGACGTCACTCGTTAACGAGAAGTTAACGGTAAATTGCAGACCGAAGAGTTTGAGGGATCGACGGCCAACGACAACAATGACGGCGACAACGATGAGGAACAAAACGAATGACCCGCAAGACATTAACGTCGATGACGATGAAGAAATCGATGTCGAACGCGTGGACGAACGCGACCCGATGTGGCGACCATGGTAGCGCATTTTGTAATGAGCGGCCGATGAGATGCATTCCCTATTCAGAGACTGCTTTTGACAACGTACCGTTATTCATCTCATTTGTATATACTTTCAAGTTGTCGGAGTTGATTTTTTTCTTGGAAAAAAAATGTTAAGGCATCGATTATGTTTTAGGTTTATTATCAATGTCTGACAGTAGAAGCGGACAAATTAACAGATGTTTATTATTTACTTAATTGCAGGTTTATATGTTATTTGAACGATATTTTAATTTAGAATTACATTTAATTAAAAGGTAGGTCTGATGTGTTATAGATTATATAAAAATGTAATATTTTTAGTAGATTGCAGTTAGAAGTTAGAAGTTATGAAGCATAGAAGATGAGAACAAATATTAGAAATAATAGAGGAAAAGGAAATTTAGATGTTTAAAGTTCCATTTTTATTCTCTTTGACAGATACCTTATTTAAATTTAAATTTTTTATTTTAATTCTTTTTTTATAATTTTATATTAAAAAGTATAAATTTATTATTGACGAATTTTATTCAATGATATATCACTTTACACATTAAATACTGGTTGCAATATACATATCATATACATATCATACCAAGACGGAATGATAATCATCGGTGATGAGTATCATAGGTATCATAAAATTATGTAATATTAGTAGTCTTATTTTTATGTTACTTTGGTACTTGGCTTTAAATTGTAGATGATATAGTTTTATCTTTATATCTTTAGAAATTTAGATTATTATTTACAAATAGACTTGTGATATGTTAAAGCGAATTTTTATTGTTTAATATACTAAAAGATACAAATATTTATATATAAATAATCCATATTTTGACGCACTATATTTCTACTATAAATTAAATACACTTTTATTCTAATTATAATATATCGCACAACTTCAGATTTGTCATTTCAAATGTATATCTTTATTATCTTGACGTATGTAAGGAGAGTGTTATAATTATTTTTAGGTATAGTTTATTCACACATATATAATTCTATTAGAAAAATATGTTGCCGTATAATTATATTTACATTAATTTACATTTTGATGTTAATTATGTATACTTTGTGCGTGATTAAACTGTGATAGCGATAAGAATACATTCAATATTTGGCATACAGCCTGAACAATTTTTGATAAGACATAAATCTAGAAAAATATTTGCATCTGATTTATAAATAAATTATAAACTTTAATAAATTTATTTGTTTATACATTATTTTCCTATTCGAATAAACCTTTCTGACTCATATAAAACTTTCATATTTAAATACATCATTTATACATTACTAATAAATTTGTTGAATGTGCACAATGCTGCAATGTGCACATCTGTCATCAATATGTCATTATAGTCATTAGAAATATTTTTCGAAAGAAAACATAGAAGAATAATAAAATAAAATAAAATAAAGAGTAATATCTTTGTTAGTTTAAAAGTTTGTTGTAAAATAAATAAATTAATCTTTAATCAATTAATAGCTTTTTTGAAAAGATATTGTAAAAGAATAATTGTCTATTATTCGGAAAAATTAGTGTTTTGATTATATGATTAAAGATCGTTATATCTTTTCATGACCAATTTAAATCTTTACATCTTACACATCTTATTACATCTCTGTTACATGGAAGATATTCCTGTTGCCATCTGTGAAAATATCTTGTAACTTAAAGAAGAAATAAGAGGTATGTCTTAAAATATTTTCTGCATTTTATAAACGCAAAGAAAAATTATTTTATAACTATTTTATATAACATAGTTTATGTTTCTGCGTTAAGTTTTGTATAATATTTTAATTATAATAGCATAATTTTTTATTCTTCTCAAAAGATAATTTATGTTGAATTGTTTCCATGGTAAGGTTCGCTTAGTATCCCTCAAGATCATATCTTCAGCTGTATTTATCGTGAGTCGATGTTATCCTCTATAATTTTACAAAATGCAAAGTGCGACAAATTTTTTTCTATTTCGAAAATAATTCTCTAAAATTATAATTTGTCATATATTTGTAAATCTTTTTCCATTAGATTTTCAATATTATATTTACCAACAGGCGTCATTACATCGACTGTTGTTAACTTGTATAGATGTATATTGTTTAAATTCAAATTTAACATAACATTACATTTTACATAAAAATTTAAAAATAATATAATTTAATAATTATATAATAAATTATATCTTTGTAATACAAAAAGCAAAATTGATTATTATTAGAAACTAAAAACTATTTCTTTTCTCTCTCAATTTTATTAAAACAAAATTTTTACAAAAATATTGTCATATATAGTTATAAAAAATAAATAATTTTGAACGTTATTCGTAGTACTATAAATATTTTTAAGACTAGGCATATCACTATTGACCACACGCAGGTAGAAAAGACTACGGTTTTTAGAGCAGAGAAGAATTTGACGACCGTTGCATCGGACCCATTCAGTTGGGGACATATGGTTTGCCAACAAACGCTTTTCGTTGACTATTATTGTGGTCAGAATGGCGACACGTTTGTCGGTTGCCGACGTTTCTTCTGTGAAAAAAATGGCGGTATATTTATAAAGCTTTGCCACTGTGCCGACACTATTGTGGTGACCACGATTTAAGTGGTTTCTTGATGCCAACTCAGTGATATAAGTGACATTAACCATGAGAAAAATATGATACAACTTTTCCGGTTTTCGCTTTCTTGTGTAAACGAATTTGAGAAGATTAGTGGAAATGCAGATTTTAGCCTTAGGATTATCTGAAATCTACATTTTTTCCTTTCCTACAAAATTGTTTTAATAATTATATATAAAAAGATAAATGAATATTTTTCTTTCTTTATTATATTTTTATTTTTTAGTATGCAAAACTTAACAAATTGAAAATAATTACGAATTTTATTTCAGTATAAATTGGAAATTTATTTTCAATCAACTTTATCTTAGAAAAATTCTTACTGATTACCGTCATATTAAAAATTGTCTTCTTAAAATTCCTAGAAAATACTGAGGAAATCCTGATCTAAACGACGATCTTATCAGATACATCGAACGCATCCTTCGCGGAACTGGACGACGTTAATATCTCAATCGCGCGAAACGATTTTCATCGGGTGGGAAAGAGTTATACGTTGCAATAGTGGTCGATAATATTCCCAGCGAGCATTTTTATTTCGTCGATCAGGTATATAGGCGTACGTATACGATATGTACGTGAAGTCGTCAGGAAAGCGCTGCAGCCATTACGACTCTTACCGTGGCGGTTCGCGCGGCGCGTCAAAGAACGCTCATTAAATGCTGGCAATTAACTGCGGGCCAAGTCCCGGGGCCCGAGCCTCTCGCTTTCCCGTTCTCCTTCTCGCTCGGTCCCTATCGAGGCCTCGCGTTGCTGGTACCCGGTGGTGGTGATGATGGTGGTGGTGGCAAGTCGAAGCTCAGGTGTAAATGCGAACCCCGACTCGAGTCGGACCCACGCGCTTTAATGGGCTTTGCCAACAAGAACGATCGGCATGCGACCCATCTATCACCCCGCGAGCTGTTATTTAATGGTTTGCATCCTGCTTCGGTCCCTCCATCGTCTTATGGTAGTGATGTAGCCTCGCGCGGATATAGATATATACATTTCCTCGGCTCTCGCCGTGGGCACATGTGGAACTGCGGATTATATTAACTTATTAACTTATCGATGCGCATCAGCGATCTGTCAGAGATCGGTTGTATCGTTGAATGTAAGATTTCACTTAGCCGCGCATTTCTCATCTTCGAAATTCTCGAAATTCTCTTTTAGGTATCTTGAAATCTCGAAATAATTTAGAAGATTAATTGTAGCACGGCGTATTTTTACGCATTTATTTATTATAAAAATATATATATCATCTTTTTAGCCTTATAAAATTTAGAGTAGTAATTTGTGGCTTTGATGTTCAGTATTACACATTTACATTACATAACTAACATGAGATGTTTCGATAATTGATATTAAATTTCGATTGCATTTAATTATATATTACGATTAACGCAAGTATCAACTTGATCTCACGCTAGATGATCAATGACTTAAAACCTAATATATTAGAATCTTACATCGTATACACAAGATTGAAACTGGTAACGTCCGCCTTCGCCTCTTATACCAGAGCATCAGGAATTTATCAATTTCTCATCAACGACTACCTGGTTTCGAACTCTGTTCTAGATGATACTCTAGATATTCTAAACAGCACGATTTACTCGCGCCTAGATATCATAGAAAATGATTTACGAGTATAATTCGTTGGGAAAGTTCCTTCATAATTAACAGTAGGATATCTTATATTACATTAATAATACATGATATTAGCGGCGATTATTGCATAAGGTTAAAAACTCGTATTCACGACTAATTAGAAAGCTTTGAACTCATCTTCTTCCGCGGAAATATAAAACTATGAATTTATATCTTATAATTATCGAATATTTATATGTTGTAGGTATGCATTTATAAAGTATTTTGAGATATTTACCGTTAATTTTAATGATTTATATTGCACGCGATCGTAAGATATTATGCATCTTTCTTTAATTACTTGTCATAATTTATATTTGTAACTCAGCTGTTAAATTCGGATGTTTAAAGATTATACATGCTTTCTAATAAATTTTACTAATTTAAATCTTTGTATACAGATATAGCTTAACACAAAAATTTTCAATGGAAAAAGAGAAACAACTTGCGATTAATTTATATTAATATAAAAAGAATATCAATCTTTGCAAGATTAAAATTAACTGTAGCTTGATAAAAAGCTGAAAGTCTGCGTTTATACAAATTAAATGAATGGTCGTGCGAATTGTTGTTCCATTTTTTTGAATCTAACTTGTGCGAATTATGCTCCTTGACTTGTCGCGAACAAACTGTCAAAAATGTTTCGATGCCTGCAGGAGGGTAAATTGTTGCCATTGTAATATTAAGAATTCTGTCAAAATATATTAATGCGTGAGTAATAGTTACAAACTGATTGATCGATATAAAAGAAGTGATTGCACGTAAATGTGTGAATGGGCGAATAATTAGGGGCGTTGTTGTCCTTGGGGAATATTTTCGTCCTTTTCTTTCCTTTAAATTCATTTTTGACAATCTACTTCTTAATACAAGCTTTTGATGCGAATCCCATAGGAGCGCGATAATCTTCAGGATCCTGCGAAAAAGGTTCTATAGAATCGTGTTTAGTAGCGACGAGAATCCTTAGGGCTGATAATAAATCTTTTTTAAATACAGTAAATAAAAAATAAAAACAAAAATTTTATAAGTAATATTTTGAGAAAATTCTATTAAATATCGATATCGTAAAGCTCTTAATTCTCTCATTTCTGGTAAATATGATTTTTGTCAATTATTTGTCTTAGCAAGAAATGCATATTTTGAAAAAAGTATATTTTTGTATTAATTTTAAATATTATCCAGAT